TACAGATCAGGCTTGAGAGAGCAAAGCTGTAAGGGTGGCAGGTAGGTCTGCAGTGTTTCAAATGGCTGAGCTTCCTACCCACGACAGTCGGTTCTGGCTATGATTTTTGTTCTCCCTGATAATGGGCTTGTGTTTGCTGGAACCACCTGTCACTGAGCTTCAGCTCCCGGGGTACCTGCTGAGATCCTGCCATTCAGCAGCATCTTTCCCACTAGGCAGGGATGCAGCTCTGGAGGAGGACATCGGTCTGCGTTATTCGCCAGCGGAGTACTCTGTGGGCTGTCTTCCCCTCCCATCAGGACACTTGCTGCTCTCTGCTGCTCTTCGCAGACTGCCTGGCATGGGGTCCCACTTACCTCTCTCTCAACTCCCCATGAGGCAGGCTGAGGTGGGAAGCACTCCTCCCTTCCTTCTGGCTCCCCTCCCTTCCACTTCCTCCCCACCCGCCCACTGGGACTATCAGAGAAGTGTTAGTAGCTAAGTAAGTCTCTACTCATTATGCTTCCTTCCTTTGGATGAGGGCTCAGAATTCAGATGTCTTGACTCTGATTCTGCCACCAGGACTCCAACAGTACCCTCAGGCACCATTTCAGAACCGACCAGGGAAGCCTTGCCTGCCAATCAGGAGGGACACCAAAGCCTGCTGTAGTACTCATGTGCCAGGTGACAGTGTCACCCAAGGCAGTCAGCTACAGATTTGTGGGTGACCCCCATGGAGTCCACCTTGCTTGCCCTCGGGGGGACCCATGGGGCGACGTACACTCGGCAGCCTCCTCCACTACAGCCTTCTTGCTCCTCTGGAGTGTCCCAAGAATTACCTTTCCTGGAGAACCACACTAGAGACACATCCCAGTAATGAAGAAGGGCTGCTTTGCTGAGGGGTGGAGGAGGAAGAGGCAAAGGTGGGAAGAACCACTGGGGAAGAGTTCAGAATAGTATGGTTTTTTACTGAAAACACAAATGAATCAAGCTCTTATCCATGGTAGGCATAGATAGCCCTCTGTGTTTTCACATGAATTATTTCATCTACCAGTCCTGGTGGCACACACCTGTAATCTCAATATCCAGAGTGCTGAGACAGGGGGATGGTGAATTCCAGGCCAGCCTGGACTATGGCAGTAAGACCTCAACATTAACTAAGGAAGGAAGCAAGGAAGAAAATGAATTAAGTTGGGCATGGTGGCACATGCCTGCAATCTCAGAAATCATGAGGTTAAGGCAGGAGGATTGCTATATATTCAAAGTCAGGCTGAAGACCTTATCTCAAAACAAAATAGAACAAAATTAAATGAAACATGAGCCAGCGAGTTTACTGGGGTTATAGCAGTGTAGTGACTCAAAGGCCGTACCACCTAAAAGCCCAGCCCAGCATGGGGATGAGTGGAGAAAGCTGCCCACCTCCCTACAGCTCAGCACAGTCTGCATGCGGGCAACTCCACCCAAGAGTCTCCTCTCACTTCACCAGCCTTGAATCCAAGGAGTCTGCTTCCTTCCTGCAGTAGAGAGTGTTTGAATTCAGAGGAAGTAGCCACGAAACTAAAGAACTGTGTTCTGCAGAAGCCACATGGGGTTACTCCTACTAGCAGAGTGTGAGGATTTCTCATCCTCCAAACTCTTACCAAGATTTGTTGTTTTCAGTTTATTATCCTTACTGTGCCATGCCAGTGAATGGGAAATCATCCCACTGGTTTTTCCCTTCAAACCTCATTTTGTGACGGGCTCTTCCTAGATAGCTTAGACTAACTTCAGTCTTGGAATAATCTCATCTCAGCCTCTCCACTGCTCTTGTTCATTTAGTTAATTTATTTCTTTGTGTATGTGTGGGCATGTGCGTGTGACATGGTACATGTATGGAGGTCAGAGGACTATTTGTGGGAGTCAATTCTCTCTCCTTCCACACGTGGGTCCCAGGAATGAAATTCAGGTTGTCAGCCTTGGAAGCAAGGGCCCTTACCTGCTGAGCCACCTTGCAAGTCCTGCTGATTTTAAAATGGAGTTGTTTGGACTTTTATCATTGAGTTATAAAATTCTGTGCATGTATGTGTGTATACATGTGTATGATCCCATGTGTGTATGTGTGTGAAGGTCAGAGGTCAGCCCTGGGCATCTTCCTCAACATCTCACTGCTTTATTTATTTTTATTATTTTGAAGCTTCTTACTTTTTTATTTATTATTATGTGAGTGTATGTATGATGGGGAGTGGTGTGCATGTACCACAGTGTGCCCAGGGAGGCCAGAAGAGAACTGTGGAGTCAATACTTTCTTTCTACCTTTATGTTGGTTCTGGAGATCGAACTCAGGCCATCAAACTTGTACCACCAGTGTCCTCACCTTCTGAACAGGATTGCTTATCAACCTTATCATGCGCAACAGGACCTCTGGCTGAATCCGGAGCTCATTGATTTGGCTAGCATGGCTGAGCACCGAGCTCCAGGGACCAGCCTGTCTCTCCTTCCCTGCACCAGGTGTGCAGGTGTGCACCACTGCACCTGGCTTTACCTCAGGTCCTTGTGCCTACATGGCAGATACTTCCCCAGCTGAGCCATCGCCTCAGCCAATCACGTTCTTCTTCATACTTCCCAAATGCATCAGATGGTCCGCGTTCTCCCATTGCGCATCCTTTCTCTTTCTTGATAGAGTTTTTGACACACAGATGTTTTAATGAGTCATTTTTTTTCTACTTTTCCTTTCATTGCCCATGCTTCTGGCATCGTCTCTTGGAGCCACTGCCAAATGCAAAGCCCAGGTTTAACTCCATGTCTTCTAAGAATCTTAGAGCTTTTGATCTTTCATGTATCTCTGATCTGTTTTTGAATTGTTCTCTTGCAGATGGCATGAAGCTGAGGCTAACTTCAGTTATATATCTAGCATGTATATCCAGCTGTAAGGCCCCAAATTGTAAGACTTAACAGGTAATTGGGCTTGCCGTGGAAGTCCGGTGTTATTTCAATCCCTGGGACTCACAGAAAGATAGAGAAGAACAGAACTGATTCCTCAAAGTTGCCCTTTGACCTCTCTGCTTCCACGCACATGATGCACATATGCATACACAGTAATAATAGTTTTTTTTAAAAGAATATATGTAGTTGTAGTATCTTTTCTTTCAACGAAACTTATTTCATAGCATAGTTATATACCGCCCCACCCCAATTTTTAAATGCAGGGCTTTGCTATTTAGCCCAGGCTGGCCTAGAATTCATGATCCTCCAGATGCTGGGCTCACAGACATGTAGCACTACATGTGGAACAATTTGACTTTAAGTAAGGCCATCTTTAACAGCTGGCTTGCAAACTTTCTGGAAAATCTAACATCAGCTTTCTCAGACCAGCGCTTGCTCAAGCTGGCCCTGTCACCCCAGCACTGAGAGGACTGACGTTTGGAGTTTCCTTGAGGAACTCTCAGGGTGGGACAGTGGTCACAGAAGCTCAGGTGGGGACGGGTGTCACCAGCCTACCTAATATTTCCCTCCAGGGCCTGACTTTCCCTTCCTGACTGGAAGGACAGAAGGTGGCCTGGTATTAGCTTATATACTCCTCCTGGTCTAGTGGTGGCTGACTTAACCTCAACTGGATGTGGCAGGGCTTTGAGTAGAGACCTAATCTTCATCCTGAGGTTGCCTGAGAGCTCCTTGCAGGGCCGTGAGACCAAATCCAGGGTCCCCGCTTACGTTTGAACTTGACAACACCATAATGTTTTAGCATACACGTGACCCATTGGGTCTGGGGAGAAACTTATACTGTGAGAATTCATCACGCACTATTTGGGTCATACTTCTGTGGGTTGAAAGAATGAAGCATAATTTTTCTAAAATTCAAGTTTGTCTCACAGTCCTGCCTTTCAGTCTCCTAATCCAGGAAGTCCCCCACAAGGTCAGTTCTGGTTCCCACTGACATCCTCCTGGCTGAAGACTCAGGACCTCAGAGTGAGAAGGGCCTGACTCTGGACACTTCATGGATCTAGAAATGTCATCATAGGCAATGAGGGATTTGAACCTACTAGAGTACTAGCCATTGTGGGTAACTGTGGACTTGTGTGTGTGTGTGTGTGTGTGTGTGTGTGTGTGTGTGTGTAGGGCATGTGTGTGTATGTAGGTATATGTGTGTGCCTGTGTGTAGGTGTGTGTGTGTATGTGTGTAGGGGAGTATGTATATGTGTATAGGTGTGTGTGTGTGTGTGTGTGTGTGTGTGTATGTGTATGTGTGCCTGTGTGTAGGGGTGTGTGTTTGTGTATGGTATGTGTGTGTGGTGTGTGTGTGAATGTATATGTGTGAGTGCATGCCTGTGTGTAGGGGTGTGTGTGTATAGGGGCATGTGTGTGTATGTAAGTGTATGGGTGTGCCTGTGTGTAGGTGTGTGTGTGTGTATAGGGGTATATGTGTATGTGTATAGGTGTGTGTGTGTGCCTGTGTGTAGGGGTGTGTGTTTGTGTGTGTGTGTGTGTGTGTAGGGGTGTATGTGTATAGGTGTGTGTGTGCCTATGTGTAGGGGTGTGTGTTTGTGTATGGTATGTGTGTGTGGTGTGTGTGTGTGAATGTATGTGTGTGTGTGTGTGCATGCCTGTGTGTAGGGGTGTGTGTGTTTGTGTATGGTATGTGTGTGTGGTGTGTGTGTGTGTGTGTGAATGTATGTGTGTGTGTGTGTGTGTGTGTGTGTGTGTGTGTGTGTGTGCATGCCTGTGTGTAGGGGTGTGTGTGTAATTGAGGATTCAACTGAGAGCCCTGTTGCCTGCCAGGCAAGCACTCTATCACTGAGCTACACACCCAGCCTGTTTTGTATGTTTTATTTTGAAGATCCCACTCTGTCAGCCAAACAGGACTAGAACTTGTAATCCTCCTGCCTCCGTCTCTTGAGTAGCTAGGATTACAGTTTGGCAACACCACACCTTTCTTAGCTCGGGGACAAGAGTGCTATGGGGCTGTTGGGGCTCACAGAGGTACTGTAACGCCTTCTGATAGTGAGAAGAGAGACGCCCTTGGTAACTGTGGTTCTTGTTCACAGGCTGATACAAACCTGGGCTACGCAGGTGATGAGGAATGGAGGCTTCAGAACCCACCCACCCTGCCCCATCCTCCAGGGACCAGCCAGCTCCTGCCCCTGGTGTTCCAGGGGGCCCAGGTGGGCAGGCCTCACCTCGCCTGACCCTGGGCCCTGTCATCCTGCCACCAGAGCAGGGCTTGCCCCCAACTGTGTTCCTGAAGGCTTTGCCTGTCCCTCTGTACCACACAGTACCTCCTGGGGGTCTCCAGCCACGTGCACCCCTGGTGACAGGAAGTCTGGAGGGGCCCAGCGTACCTTTCATCCTCAGTCCCTTGCTGCAGCCCGAAGGGCCCAGTCCCACCCAGATGGGCAAGCCGACCACCCCGGCCCTGACTGTGAACATTGTGGGCACACTGCCTGTACTCTCCCCGGGTGTGGGGTCCACGCTGGTCAGCACAGGCAGGGTGAAGAATGCTGGGAAGTACCTGTGCCCACACTGTGGCCGGGATTGCTTGAAGCCCAGTGTGCTGGAGAAACACATCCGATCCCACACGGGGGAGAGGCCCTTCCCGTGCACCACCTGTGGTATTGCCTTTAAGACCCAGAGCAACCTATATAAACACAGGCGGACACAGACACATCTCAACAACTCTCGGCTGTCCTTGGAGTCTGAAGGGAGTGGGAGCAGCCTTCTGGAAGAAGGAGACAGGCCTGGAGAGACTGCCTCAGTGGATAGCCGGGGAGATGAAGGAGCGCCAGAGAGAGCGCTTTCCCCAGGTGCCCATCCCACCCTTGCTACTAAGAACAGGGAACGGATGATAGAAACAACTTCCTGTCTTGGAGCCACCCTCCCCCACAGGGAGGCCCCTGTGGACCAGCCCCAGATGGTGTCACCTGAGCTCCCACTAGCCAGCCCACAGCCTAGGCGGAAGCTTCCAGAACCAAAGCCATCCTCCTTGCAGAGGCAGCAGGAGACATGCGCAGAGAAGCCCTGGGACTCCAAGGCCTTGGAGGGCCAGCTGAGGAAGTGTGAGAGCACAGACTCGGGCTACCTGTCCCGCTCAGACAGCGTGGAGCAGCCTCCTGTTACCTCCAGCCCCTTGCACAGTCTATCAGAGCACAGTGCAGAGTCCGAGGGGGAGGGAGGTCCCGGCTGCGGGACTTCGGGCAACGGGGTCGAGCAGGGAACGCCAGGGGCCAGCCTGGAGCTAGAGAAGAAGAAACTGGAGGAACGCATTGCCCAGCTCATCTCCCACAACCAGGCAGTGGTAGACGACCCACAGCTGGACCACGTGCGGCCCCGCAAGACTGTGCTGTCCAAGCAGGGCAGCATCGACCTGCCCATGCCATATACCTACAAGGATTCCTTCCACTTTGACATCCGGGCGCTGGAGCCCAGCCGCAGGAGGGCTGCGCTCAGCCCTGCTCGTTCTACCTACACACCCCTGGAGAAGGCCAGACCCCTCTTCTTCCACTCTGTCCCCACACAGCTCTCCACCACCGTGGAGTGTGTCCCTGTCACCAGAAGCAACTCATTGCCTTTCATTGAGGGGTCGAAGTTGTGGCCAGAGCCGCGGGACCCACAGGATGCCTTTCCCAGGATGCAGAAGGCCCTGAGCCCCAGGCTCACCCCAGCTCGGCTGGGAGACCGCCCAGGAGTGACCTTGGCAGGCATCCCCAGTGGTCACCCTCGGGCCCTGGTGAGACAGGCTGCTGTGGAAGACCTGCCGTGCACCCCTACTGGAGACCCCTCGGCTGTTGCGGAGGACCTCGATGGAAAGAGGGCGGCAGTAAAGGAGGGGGTGGTATGCAAGGGCAGAGCCGGTAAGAAGTACAACCAGAAGAAGCAGATGTTCTCCCAGGAGAAATGGCAGGTGTATGGGAATGAGACGTTCAAGAGGATATACCAGAAGATGAAGACCACCCACCAGGGAGGACAGAAACACAGGGAGGTGAAGCAGGGCCAGAGGTCGCGACTGGACCTGCCTCCCCAGGAAGAGGTAGTAGGGACTGAGGGTGCAAGCCTGTCTCGAGACAATAGGATCCCTGTCCTGGGGGATGCCACAGCAGGGGCCAAGCCAGGATCTTGGGGAAGTAGACCATCCCTGGAGGACTCATTGGAGACTGGGTTTCCTAAGCAACTGAAGGCAGTGGCCAGAGCCAAGTCCTCTCCTACCCTTGGCAGCACAGATGCCCTCTGTCTAAGCAGCAAAAGCCCTCTGCTCCTTCCATGCGAGAAATCCGACCTGAGATGTCAGCTGTCTCCAGAGCCTGTGCCCCTCCAAGGAAGAGACTTAGAAGCTCCTGACATGGCTTTGCCAGACCCCGGTGAGGCTATAAAAGAAAGCTGCCCTGGGGACCAAACTGTCCTCCGGCGGCCCAGTGATGGGTCTGTGGGTCCCCAGCTTGCAGAAGACAAGTCACCGTCAGAGAGAAAGCGACTAAAGGTGGAAGGACTGGACCATGAGGAACAGCTAGGGCCTCTGGAAGCTGAGGCTTCAAGTGGCTTTCTGCGGACTGACTCCCAGCCACCCCAGAAACAGGTCAGTGATGCTGAGGAGGTTCTGGGTAGCTCAGCTGAGAGTATCCAGCATGTGACCATGACCCTGAAGTCCTCTGATGCCTCCTCAGCTGTTTCTGCTGTTGCCCTGAGGTGGCCAGGGCTAGGAGACAAGGATCCCACATTACCTTCTGTATCTAGGATGTTTGGACTTCACTCCCTGCTGCCTGCCCAGCCCCAGGATCCTGGTGTTCCCACTGCTGTGTCAGGTGGTTCCTTTGCTCCCAAGTACCTCCTCAGGTTGCCTCAGGGAGAGAAGCCCTCACCACATGTTGCTCTGGGGACTGGGAAAGGCCCCGACTCTCTGTGTACAAGTGCACAGCCTACAGAACAGGCCCTTCTCGCTGGATCAGAATTGGGAATGCTCCGGCTACCTGGAGCACACTCAGGCCCAGGTGAGGCAGCTGGCAGCTCAGAGGATCCTAGCTGGTCCAGGTCACTGGATGGAAGAGAAGAGGCACAAACAGGAAGCGAGAAAAGAGACAGGGCCGACAGCAGCATTCCCAACACCGGCACCGCCCAGGAGACAGCCTCCATTGTGCCTGCTCACACATGTGACAGTCATGTGACCAAGAATGCAGTGGGTGAGAGCCACGCCATCCATTGCCTCTGCAGAGACAGCCCACCAGCAAGAGCTGGAACATATGGGAATCTCTTGAACCCATGGACATTGTTCCAGAAGCTGGGAACACCTAGGAATGCCCTAGAAGGTCCTTCTTCAGAGACCAAGGAAGGGCTGCCTGTCTGCTTTCCCTCCCAAGCACATTATTTCCCCACATCTTTCACAAGGCCCCAGGGTTTACCCCTGGGCCAGCAGAAACTGGCCTTGTCACACCACTTAGGGACCCCCAGAAGCTGTGAGGCCCCAAGCTCCTTCCCTTCACTTAAGGCTGAGCCTCAGCTCACCTGGTGTTGCTTAAGTCGCAGCCTGCCCCTGGCCGCAGAGCAACAGAGGGCAGCTCCTGGGCACTTGTCTCCATGCTCACCTGATAGAAGCCTCCAGGGTAAGAGTGACAAAGGGCTGCTGCCCAAGAGCAGTGGAGGACGGACCAAGACAAGCCGAGGAGGAGCGACTTCGAGGGCACCTGAGGTAACACTAGCTAGGCCTGGGGACTTGGCCATGAGAGAGAGAGACAGGGAGAGAAAGACTGGGGGGAGAGAAAGGAAACAAGAGGGGAGGGGGAGAAAGGAAAAGCAGTGGATCTATCCCTGTGGATATCACCACCATTGTGACGTTTTCTGTTCCCAAAGGAGGCTCGGGTGGCCATACATGGGGTGGGAAGAAGTAAAGGCCCTAGATATGAACAAAACCCAACAGATTCATAAAAATGAAGTGATAAAGATCTCTTGTACTAGGGTCTGGGTCGTGGCTGACTTGAAGTGCTTGCCTCACAAGTTTGAGGACCTGAGGACCCCTGTTTAAAAAGCCAGGAGTGATGGCAGGCCTTTCTAATCCCAGCTCTGAGGAAGGTCACTGAGGTTGGCTTAGATTAGCCTAATCCTTGAGTCCTAGGCCAGTGAAAGACCCAAAACACAAGCTGGATGGCTCCTGAGAGAAGACACCCAAGACTGTTCTCTGACCTCCATATGTATGTATACACACCACACACACACACACACACACACACACACACACACACATA